AATAGCATAAACATGGAACCAACCGTGCTGCCCATCGAAAGAGAACTGGATTAAAAAAAAAAAGTGATACATATGCACAATGGAATATTAGCAGCCATAGAGATGGACAAAATTATGAACTTCGTAGCAATTTGGGTGGATTTTGAGTCTATAATACTGAGTGATCTAACACTGAGTTCAGAAACAAAGAACTCAGTATCACATGTTCTCACTCATAAGCGGACCTTGAACAACTATTGTAACATTATAAGAAATGTAAGAAAGGGATTGGCAGTAGTGGGAAACTGCCAGGAGCAAGGGGAAAACCTCATCAACAAGGGTACTTGTATAATGAATATTTGTATACCTAACTCTGAATTGTACCCCACATCTTTAAAATTAAAAATTAAAAAAAAAGAAGCCGGGCTCGATGACTCAGCCTGTAATCCCAGCACTTTGAGAGGTTAAGGTGAGTGGATTGCCTGAGCCCGCGGATTCGAGACCTGCTCGGGCAGCTTGGCGAGACCTCATCTCTACAATAAATCAAAAATTTGCTGGGCATGGTAGCACGCGCCTGTAGTTCCAGCTACTTGAAAGGCTGAGGTGGAAGGATCACCGGAGCCCAGCAGGTCGAGGCTGCAGGGCCGGGAGTGGCCACTGCACTCCAATCTGGGTAACAGGGTGAGACTCCAACAACAACAAAAAAGAAAATGTTGCCAGTCTCACGAGAGAGTAAATGAACTAATGTAGCGGGAACACCCAACATGGTGTCTGAGACACACTAGGTTCTCAGAAGATACATGGTCATTCTCCCCCTTGCTTCTCTCTCATGAGCATCTCAGACTTTCTTCTGTCCAGAGGCATAACCCTTCCTACCCCTGGATGTCCCCCAGGCTGCATACAATACTCTTACTTTAGTTCTTTATTTGGTATTCAAGACAATACTGTAAAGTCATCAGATGTCCTGACATAGCATGTAATCATACCAACTTTGGGCAGGAGAATGCTGTTTTGTTGGGGGAAAGCTTGTCATAGTAGAAAGAACATGGACTAACAAGCAGACCACATGACGACTTGGCTCTTAAATAACAACAGTACCAGTGATGACTGAGTATTTTATGCTAGGTGCCTTGCTAAGCACTTCACATAAACTATATCATTCAACCTCACAACAGCCCACAGGACACCAGGCCTGTTATTAACTCCATTTTACTGACAAGCAGTCTGAGACTTAGAGAGGGTAGCTGCTTGCTTCAAGTCACATAGCCAGTAAGTTCACTTTTTTTTTCTCAGTTTCACATTTTTAAAAATTTTATTTAAGATTCAGAGGGTACATATGCAAATTTGCTGCATGAGTATATTGCGTGATGGTGAGGTGCGGGCTCTATTGAACCCATAATCCAAATATTGAACACGGTACCCACTAGGTAATTTGTCATCCCCTGCTCTACTCCTTCCCTCTCCCCCTTAGGTGTCCCCCATGCCTGTTATTCCCATCTTTATGTCCCTGTGTACCCAGTATTTCTCTCCCACTTATAACTGCCACACGCTGAATGTCTCCTGAGCACCAAGTGCATGCATGTCTTGTAGAATTTTCATGACAACCCATTTTATAGATGAAGAGACGAGGCTTTGGGAGAATAATTGCCTGAGGCCACTCAGTTGCTAAGTGGTAATGCTAGGATTCAGCCCTGGTCTGACACCAAAGGCTGTGTTTGTCTCCCTCCCTATTCCACCTCCTTGCTTTTGTCCCCAGCTGGAGGAGTGGCCAATGACACTGTAGCATGAAAAAGAATTATAGTCTAAGAAAAAGAGTCGCTGAGATGTGTCAAGCAAAGGTCTGAGGCTCAAGGAGATTTGATAAATAGGGTTGATCTGGGTGAACTAGGCAGACCCTGGTCCCAGGATAAGGGGCTCGGAATGCACCCTGGGGATGGCTGGAGGGAGGTAGCAAGCTTGCTTTTGTGTCATGCCAGCTGCCTGGTGGTGGTGCCCACTGACAGCTTGTAGGATTGTGCAGGGCCGGGCAACTACATTGCTCCGCGATTTAGGCTATGATAATCATGTGCAGAATGTGTGATGAAACTAATTTGGCCACAAAGCTGCACCACACTCTCTACCACCTTTTATACTCGGTGACCCCTCCGGTCATCGACACTGAAGTCCCACCACCCTGGATGGATTGTCAGAGCCTCCTCACTTGGCTGGCTGGGGCTTGGCCGGCACTCTGTGGCCATCTGTTCAGGCTGCAGAGCTCTTTGTTGCTTTTGGCATGTTTAATAGCTTAATTTCTATTTTTCTGTTTGGAAATGCAGTTCGCCAGCATTGAGGCTGCAGTGGGTGCTAAAATGGTTTCTGATTGCTATCTTGAATGTTAATATCCGAATACGTTTTATCCTCAATGACCTGTCCTCCCTGCCACGAGTTCTCACTCCCTTTTGCAAAGATAGGCACGCTGCCTGCCCTCGGCTAGGCCTTGGAACCCGCTTCACTCCTCCCTCTGCCATCTCCCTCCCTGCTGTACACAGATAGCATTGTGTTTTGCCAATAAAGTCCACAGTCGTGGGAAATCTTTGACTTGGAGGATATGAGAACGGGTTTCATTTTGCCGGCAGGGCTTAAACAGGGATGATCTAATCTCCAAAAGGCATACATTATTTAAATTCCGTGCTTTTGGGCAAGAGGGCCCCTGATATTTTGAGCTTTGGCAGGGCCAAGATTCTGGTTTGGCTCTGTTCAGGAGAGCCGGCTGTTGGTTTTCCTGTTTGCAATTCAGTGTGGAGGCCAGGTTATATTTGGTGGAGTCAGGACTCATGGTGAGAATTCTGGAGAACATTTTCTTTACCTAGAAACTTAATATCAGGGACTTTAGGGGGTAGAAGGGGTAAGATAAGTCATCTCATGGAATTACCAGTTTGTTATTTGGTTCCCTAGCTCAGGTGAGCAGCTCTCCTAGGGCTTCTGGGAACTGTGCACATCCGTTCCCTGCACTCTCTCACTCCTGTCCTGACAGAATACCTCAGCCGTCCCCAGTGTCCTCACCCATGAGGCACTGAAGAGCCTTGATGAAAACGGAATGTTGAGGGGGAGACTTGAGCACTCTCAATCATTAGATGCTAAGTCTGGAAATAAAGTGGCTCTGGGAACCGAGATTGTGTGTTGAGTGAGACATTGGGGGTGGGAGAGCTTCGGCTCAAGCTGGGTTTCTTTGCCTCTTAGGGAGTATGTGGTGCTCATGGTGTGGCCGCCTCGTCTTCCCCCTTCCCTTATCCAAATGTCGTTTTAGTATAGATGTCATGCCTGCCTTCCTTCCTGGGGACGGAACAGAGGCTGGGAGAGAGGTGGGGTGAATGATCCCAGAATAGGCTCTGAAAGTTCTGAACATAGAGCCTTTTCCCGCCTCCACCAACGTGTACTGGGTGTTTCCTAAGAGATGGTGAGCTAAGGGTTAGGATGCAAATATGGTTATCATACCTTCTGTTTAATTGGGGAGATGGATACACGGACAATATATTACAGCTTCATGGGAGCCATGAATAAGACATGTCTAGTATACTGTGTGAACATAGATGAGGGGGAAATTAATTCTGCCTAGGCATATCTGGAAACGCTTCAGAAAGGAGGTGATAATTGACCTTGATCTAGAAGGAGGAGGAGGCATCCACCAGACTGACTCTTCCAGAGTATCACTTGCTAAGGGTGTACCTGCTCTTTGCTGGGGACCATGGGGAAAAAAGAAAAAAAAAGGAGGGGATAGTGGTTCCTGCCCTTAAGAGTTCACAGCTTGCTGGGGAGAGAGCTTATGAACCAATGAATGCTTTGTGTAGACAGATGGGACTGCGGAGGTAGGGAGGCTAGCTAACTCTTGGTGATCCAGAGTTTCCGGAGTTACTACTCTCTTATGGAGAGCACAGTTTCTGTAAGGATAGTTCAGACCTTGCAAAGATGTTTTGAACTACAAGGGGCCCAGCCCTCTGACTTTTCTCCTACTCTGTGATTTCATCAGCTTGGTTCTGTGTATTACAAGTAGTTAGCTGGACCCGGGGTGGGGAGGGAGGAAGCTATGGTGGGTGGGTGGGGAGGGCAGTGGTAAGCAGTCAGCCGTATTGACTCTCCCTTCCAACCCTGGTAGGATCTGGGGTTTGCAAGACACATGTCAGCTAACACCAACCCTAGCTATCTCATGTAAACACCATGCACATTACAAACCTTTGCCGATGCTGTTTTTTAAATCCACTTTGTGTGTTTCTCCTTTGTTGCTCTGTGAAGACTTCCCAGACTGCTCTTCTATACAGATTTCAGGCTCATCAGATATTTATCTGTTGTTCTCTGTCCCTCATCATTAAGCTGGGTTTGGCATTGTTCTCTGTTTCTTAACGCTCCAGTGAGACTGCAAACACTGAGAGCAGGAGTAGCTAGCATTGTCTGCTTCTCTTATTTCCCCTGCGAGCAGTGTGTGTATAGTATAAAAATCATGGGTTTCTTCAGACACTCTTGGCATTGACTCTCAGTATTGCCACTTTCCTTGGAACTTTGAGCACCGTTTCCTTATCTGTACAATGGGATCACACAGGGTTTCTCAACCTCAACATTATAGATGTTTTGGGCTGGATGATTTTTTTTGTCCTGTGCACTGCAGGATATTTAGGGGCACCTGTGGCCTTCACCCACTAGAAGTCCATAGCAGCACTCTCTCTCCAGTTATGACAATCAAAACTGTCTCCAGATGTTTGCCAAGTGTCCCCTGTGGACTCAAATTGCTCCTGGTCAAGAACCACTGGGATGATGCTACCCATTGGCCACTCATCAGATCTCCTGTTCCTTCATCCAAAACACAGCAGACATTCAGGAAATGATGTTTCTTCTTCAGTCCCAGTTCACCTAGCACTTGATCATTGTAGGCTGATGAATTGCATGGAGCTGTGACTCTAGGTTTTAGCAGTTTGGGGTGGGAATGTTATGGAATTCTCGGGTTGCCCACACAACGCACTAAAGAGTCACTGTCATTTTCTTAATTGCAGATTGATCTGGAGCCAGAAGGAAGAGTATACGTGATCATCGATCTCTCGGGGTCTTCGGGTGAAGGTAAGAGAGTGTGACCTCTTATCCTTGCTCTCTTCCATTGACCCTTTGTCTTCTGGGTCTCTCCTTTCCTTTTCCCTCGGCTGGGACATAATTACATGACATTTAATTAATTGGCATGCTTTAAAGGAAAAGGTTATTTTGAAGATGCTGACGCCTGTGTACCAAAAGGGACTAGCCATCTGTTAACTTGGTAGAGCAGAGGGAAGATTTTTGACTTACCAAGGGAGGCCAATAAACGGGTGTTTCCGCATGCCGTGTGTGAGGCAGACCTTGGTGAGGTGGCAGCCTCTCTTAGGAGGCTTGCGTGGGGTTTGTGTGTGTGTGTGGTGGGAAGGAAGTAAAACCAGTCGGTCTAACGGCATTCAGAAATGGAACAAATAAGGTGTCAAGCTCCAGAATATTACTTCTTTCAAGCTTTTATAGAAGTGCTACTTCTTTACCAGTTCTTTACACAGGCTCTTAAAGAGAAGTAACGGGGTAAAGGAACATCTGCTCTTCACTGGCTGATTAAACAGCATATAGATTTTCTCTTCTTCTCACATCCTCTTCTTTTGATCCTTTCTTTGCTCACTTAATACACTTAATACCTCTGAAGGGTTTGCTGGGTGGTGAGGACTGAGAAGTCAGGGCAGAAGGGAAGGCTAGAAAATGAAACCTTATCCAAATAGGTACAAGGAGAGGGTGGCCGGCTTGAGTTCTAAGGAAGGTTGGGAATTAGGATGGAAGTTTGGTTGTTGAGAACATCTTTCCTCCCTACCTCCTCTGTCTGTGGGCAGGGGGGCAGACAAGTGGGCTTTATTGGCATGGGATTGGAAGACCACAGGTAATTCTTCTTGGCAGCAAGAAAAAAGGGTGCCTCAGGGCTTGTCCTAAAGGAAAAGATGGTCCATCAACTTGCCTGGCTTGGGCTTTCACAACATCTCCCCAGAATACTGGGGATCACAACCTCAAAGTCACAACCTCCAGTGATGGGAGGAGAGATTATGTACATGAACTTGAAGGGTCTGGTGAACCAATGCACTTGACCTTAGTGCCTGATGATTTTCACTCAGCTAATGTACCACCCAGTCTCAACAGGTATTCAGAATAATTCAATAATTGTGTGTGTAAGGGATTATAATAGAATTCAGTCCTCTTTTAATAGCTCTCAATTATTTGGCATAGGTTTAAAACTTTAAACATCCTTCCGAAATGGATTGCTTACATTTTCTGCTCTTTGTTGCAATTACATTTTGGCATTTCCAACTTCCCTTCTCTGCTCGCAGCTCTGAACAGCCTAGAATAGAATCTGTTGTAGAAGATTTCACAATATTTTGTATGAAATGTATAAGATCTACAGAGGGTTTAAATAAAAATAAAAATAAAATGAGCACCATTGTACCCACTACCCAGAAATAAAACAACTGGTGAGGTGAAGGCTTTCTTTATCCCCCCCTCTCCCACTAACCTTCACTCCCAGCGAAGGTGAAGTCTTGTCGTTTCTTTCAACATAGTGAGTGATGCGAATTCACCAGACTTAAGGTTTTATAGTGGCCTTCTGATTGTAGACGCTGGCGAAACATTTGATGGGCACGATCAATCCCCCTTTTTCCTTACATAATCTATAAGCAATATGATAATTACTTAAATATGTATTTCCTGCGCCGAGATGCTGGGCAACCAACGAGAGGCATGGGCTGTTTTTCTTTGAAAAGATTAATGACTTGCAAAATTATACAAGACATCCTTTTTTATGTTATAGGGAAAGGAGATGGACAAATTGAATGAATAAATAAATCAGAAGCAATTGAGTTTTTTCTTCTTGCTTTTACGGCTTCTTGCATGCGAACAGCCAAAGCGATTTTCATTGGGCTAAATTCTGAGTCTGTTTATATATATATATATATATAAACCTCTTTCATCTAAAAAAATAAGAGTTTACTTCAGAAATGCTGACACACGCTGGAATCTGTAAAGTGCTAGCATGTGTTGCTCTGAAGAAAAGAAGAAATTTTTCTGCTCTCTTTTTTCTTCTTGCTGTTCCTGGACTTGGGATCCTTTCTTCAGATGGTGGGTAGGACTTTCAATAATACGTGCTTAGAAGCTGATCTTGTTGTTTGTGCTGTACACATCTGTTCTCCCTGTTCTGTAGCTAGGACTGTGAGGGCTCCTGGTGGTTTTGGTTTTAGAAGGATTGGAAGGGAGAAGACTTAGAAGAGGAGAAGCCACCACGTTTAATACTTACACCATGTGAGAAGGGTCAGGGGTGAAACATGATTGTCACAGTCGCCCTCCTGATGGACAGACTATGGAAATTCACAGATTCTTGTCTCTGTTCCTTCCTTTCTTTCGTGAAAATATCTAACTCTGCACTCTGGGAAAGGAGGAAAGGAGAGTTGAAATGAGGCACAGCTGAAGTTTCACTCCTCCATTAATCTGCCATCAAGCATCCTTCAGCTTTCCTATCTCAAATGCTCCAGCCCCATCAATGAAGAAAAACATATTCATAGGAACCGCACAACTTTGCGACATGTGCAAATTCCAAAGGGCTCAGAGAAAGGTGTGGGGATGAGATGGTGTGAATATACCTCCTTCTTCTAGAATGTGCCAAAAGATTCTTTTTCTTGCTCATATGCTATTAGAGAGCCTGGGAGTTTACGTGTGTTTGAGCTGGAGCTAATGTGATTTCTAACTGTGTAATAAAATTCCACTGCTGCATGTCCTGTGCAGTTCACCATAATGGGATTTGACTGGTGTGTGCTCTGGCTAAACCAGCCAACCACCCCCCAGATGTAAGGGGTCAGGCTTCATGACAGTTAAGGTCATTTCCGGTCATGTGATTTTTATCCTTTGGTACAATGTGAACAGACATCTGTCAGAGCTTGCCTCTGAGGCTGGCTAAGACCTACATCAGGAAGAAGAATGGATTTTTGTGTGTGTGTGACAGGTATGGCGCTGGGCACTTTACCCACATGATCCCAAGTAGCAGACCTACTTGGAAGGCTCTTGTGGGGTGCTTCAATTTTAGGTGCTTCTCAGAATTTTGCTTATATCATAACTAATCATCCCGGGACTTCTGATAAGCACGACACGCCAGGCTCACCAGATGTTTGCATCAAAGCATAGTTACCCCAGGTAACAGAAGTGTAAGCAACAATGTCATTCTTACGTGTGCAAATGATCGTTTCCTGCTGTGCACATTCCTTAGTATTTTCTTCCTTTGATGTGCTGTACTTTATATCATTTCTTATTCTTTACAAGCATATGGCGATGCCCTGTTACTTGCAGGCTTCCAGATGATTGAGAGATGATCAGGCCTGACCTGGAACCTTACAGGCTATTCTTCCCCTGCCTTCCATCTAGGTGTGGTGCTTATCTGGGCGAGCTCCTCAGAATCTAAACCAGTAATAGAATAGAAATAACAAGAGGAAATAGAAGTAATAGAATAATAAAAGAAGTAACAAGACGTAGGCCTCCTTGGTATGGTTTTATGTTGTTGTTTTGGTTTGGTTTTATGTTGAGTCTCACTCTGTTGCCCAGGGTGGAGTGCAGTGGCATGATCGCGCCTCACTACAGCCTCCACCTCCCGGGCTCAGGTGATCTTCCCACTTCAGCCTCCTGAATAGCTGGGACTAAAGGTGTGCATGCCTGGCTAATTTTTAAAATTTTTTTGTAGAGAAGAGATCTCGCTATATTGCCCAGGCTGGTCTTGAATTCCTGGGCTCAAGCGAGCCTCCTGTCTCAGCCTCCCAAAGTGCTGGGATTATAGATGTGAGCCACCACGTCACCAAATTCTTTCTTCAATAAAATACAGAGGATACCAAAGGATTTGAATGAGTTTTGTAACACATGCATTACAAATAACACAGCTAAGTTCTAGAGGGAGACTGAAGAAGAGGACCAGGATGCAGCACCGCTCCCCATCGCCCCCCCCTTTTTTGGGTAACCACACATTACAGAAAGTGGTTCATCTCTTCTCTGGGACTGAACAGATAGAGGGGAAACAGTGCAGTTTTAGGGGTCCCTCATATCTGGATTAAAATCCCGGCTCTAGTGCTTATTAGCTTAGAGCTTGAGATTTCTCCCCTGCAGAATGGGGATAATTGTAGATACGATTGGTGCCAGGATAGGATTCTTTTAAGAACAGTACGTTGGTAGTGGCCTCTCCTATGAGAGGTGCTCAGTAAATATCCTGAAGCCTAAGGGCAGGGAGGTGGGCGTGTCTCTACCCAGGGCACATGAAGGAGCAGCAGGCAGGGTGTGTCCAGGGAAATAGTTGGAGGCTAGGTTTCTGACTCTGGGACCAGGCATGTTCACAAGAGCTAAGAACAAGGTAACAAAGAGGTGACTTACAGAACAATGTGTTTGGCAGGGACTATGAGATCGCCCTCACTGCAGACTTTGGACCTTGCCTCAGTTTTGCCTGTCGTTTCTGTCTTTCTTCCTTACCCTTTCCCAGAAGGACATTCTCAGAAGTATATTCCCAGAATATTCTGTAGCATCTTTGAGCCACTTGTCTGTGTCTTTTGGCTCTCAATGTCAGAAACTTCTTGTCAGAGCCTGGGCCTGCCCCATCCCTGCTCAGTGCATGCTAGAACATGTGGTCCCCATACTCTCACCAGCTCCTGGGTAAAAATGCTTCATATATTTGAAGTCAGTTATTAAATCTCTTTTTCAGGTTGACTTGACCAAACCTCTTAACCTTTCAGATAGAATATTTTATAAATCTTAACACATCTTTGCAACACACTTCTGGATTTTTTTCAAGTTGTGCAGACAGATGTGATCAAACCAGCTTTGCATGGCTCTGAAATAATAACATGTGTGTAGAGGCTTAGCTTTATCAAGTGCCTGGCTGCATTACCTCACCGTGGAGATGGTGAAATTGAGAGGTCAGTGATGTGCTCTATGCCAGAAGGTTGATTATGAGGCCCTGCTGGGCCCAGATCCCAGACCACAATCCGGGCCCTACTTCCAACCATGGCCGCATTTAAATTTGCCACGTGGCAATGAGCTTCCTG